AAAAAAAAAAAAAAAATCCACATAAATCATCTTTCACCCACCAAACTGGCTAAATTACGAGTGTGGTTAATATTCCCTAATCTACAACACAGTCTTCAGCATAACTCTTTCTACACTTTTGAAGGCTGGTTTAAAGTTGCTTGGCCTCTCCAGGGAAGTGTCACAATCTCCTTGGGAAAGCACTTACCGCTGCCCCCCAGCATCCTTGCATGTTCTGATTGAGGGCTCCACAACCCAGGGTTTCCATCTCCAACTGAGCTGCTTCTTTAGCTATAGGTAAGGAAAGTGAATAGATCAAGGAGAGTGAAATAGAGTACAAAACTCTGATTTACTACCCACTACAAAGTTTTCTGTTTCCTAAAATAGCTCTGAGCCTGCATCAGGAGTGGTGGCAAGCGCAGGTGAGATAGCTCAGGCAAGCTCAGAGACCACTAAACTGGAGACCAAGTCCAGGTGTGGTAGCACAGGCCTGTAATCCCAGCACTGAGGAGGCTAAAAGCAGGAGAATCACCTCAAGTCCAAGCTGCATAGTGAGACCCTGCAACAACCAGATACATTGAAAAAAAAAAAAAAAAGTTGTGATATAGGCCTGTACCCTAGTGACTCAGCAAACTGAGGCAAGAAGATTGCTTGAGACCCGGAGTGCAAGGCAAACCTGCGCAATATAATAAGACACCACAATTTTTAAAAAAGCCTTATAAATATGTCAACCTTGTGGGTATTGCTTGTACTTTGGGTCATAAAGTTCTGAATCTCATATCTTTCAGCACCCACAATGGCAAATTAATTTGTTAAATTAATTAGGTTAAAGTTAGGTGAAAATTCAGACTTTTCAGTTAATGCATCAAAATTTGAAACGTATGTGCCATTTGACTTAGCAACTCCAGTTCTAGGAATCTATTGTACAGAAACACAAATGGGAAGATAGATAAAGCTACTCATTTCAGCATAGTTTCAACAGAAAAATATTAAAAACATGATTAACATATATAAATGAGTAATGACTTTAAATATTAAGACATTTTCAGACAGCATCTGCTTTGGGCCAAGGTGGAATAACAGGTGCAAAAGCCCAAATGACCTGAATTTGCAGGACCAAACAGGAGGAGAATGGCCCAAGGAGAGAGCTCCAGGACTCTGAAGCGCTGTGCTGCTTGGAACCAACTGCTTGCAATTTAAAAGAACTTTTTTTCTTTTTCATCTAATTGAGCAAAGGTAGAGGATTTAAACTCCATCTGCTGTACCTTTGCTCTCCCCTCCATGTCCCATGTGGGACTTGGTTTTAAAAGAGTCCTCCATGCTAAGTTCTTTATAGTGGGCTTAGATAGTAACATAAGTACAGGAACCAAGAAAACAGAGATAAAGGAGCATAAAGAGAGAAACAGGTTTGAGAGAAGCCAAAAAGCAAAAAGTTAGATTGAGTTAAATGGGACAGAGAGTAGTGCCTAGAGCGGCCGAGGCAAGATGGGTCAAAGTCAGAGTGGTGGCCATGGTCCTGGAGGTGGTAAGAAGGATGATAAGGATAAGAAAAAGCAATATGAACCTCCTGTACAAACTAGAGTGGGGAAAAAGAAGAAAACAAAAGGACCAGATGCTACCAGCAAACTGCCACTGGTGACACCTCACACTCAGTGCCGTTTAAAACTACTCAAGTTAGAGAGAATTAAAGACTATCTTCTCATGGAGGAAGAATTTATTAGAAATCAGGAACAAATGAAACCATTAGAAGAAAAGCAAGAGGAGGAAAGGTCAAAGGTAGATGATCTGAGGGGGACCCCAATGTCAGTAGGAACCTTGGAAGAGATCATTGATGACAATCATGCCATCGTGTCTACATTTGTGGGCTCAGAACACTACATCAGCATCCTTTCATTTGTGGACAAGGATCTGCTGGAACCCGGCTGCTCAGTCCTGCTCAACCACAAAGTGTATGCTGTGATCGGGGTGCTGATGGATGACACAGATCCTCTGGTCACAGTGATGAAGGTGGAAAAGGCGCCCCAGGAAACCCATGCCGACATTGGTGGGTTGGACAACCAAATCCAGGAAATAAAGGAATCTGTGGAGCTTCCGCTCACCCATCCTGAATACTATGAAGAGATGGGTATAAAGCCCCCTAAGGGAGTCATTCTCTATGGTCCACCTGGCACAGGTAAAACCTTGTTAGCCAAACTTCAGCCACTTTCTTGAGAGTGGTTGGCTCTGAACTTATTCAGAAGTACCTGGGTGATGGGCCCAAACTTGTGTGGGAATTATTTCCAGTTGCTGAAGAACATGCACCATCCATTGTGTTTATTGATGAAATTGATGCCATTGGGACCAAAAGATATGATTCAAACTCTGGAGGTGAGAGAGAAATTCAGCGAACTATGTTAGAACTGTTGAACCAGTTGGACGGATTTGACTCACCGGGAGATGTGAAAGTTATCATGGCCACAAACCAAGTAGAAACTTTGGATCCAGTGCTGATCAGACCAGGGTGCATTGACAGGAAGATTGAGTTCCCCCTACCTGATGAAAGGACCAAGAAGCGCATCTTTCAGATTCACACCAGCAGGATGACGCTGGCCGATGATGTAACCCTCAACGACCTGATCATGGCAAAGGATGATCTCTGGTGCTGATATCAAGGCAATCTGTACAGAAGCTGGTCTAATGGCATTGAGAACGTAGAATGAAAGTAACAAATGAAGACTTCAAGAAATGTAAAGAAAATGTTCTTTATAAGAAATAGGAAGGTACCCCCAAGGGGCTGTATCTCTAGTGAACCACAGCTGCCTTCAGGCAAGTGGTTGGGACTTTGCTCAACCCCTGGGAAGGATGAGATTTGGGAAGGTGCCCTTTGGGAGACAGTTGATTTTTATTGGTAGCATGGCATGTCTTTTCCAATATGACATATAGGGTGCCTACTGGATAACCTTTATCTGTGGTCACTGTGCTGCTTGCTCTCTGCTTCCCAATAAAATGTGCTCTTTCACAAAAAAAAAAAAAGGGACAGAATTTCAAGAACCATACATATTTACCTGTTTCTGGCCCTAAAGAACCTGTTTCTGGCCCTAATGAGCCTCCATCCCCAAATTATACACCTAATGTACCAGTACCAATGTACACCTGTGCTGAATACTGGCTCTAACCAATTCACTTCCCTCCCTTATGCGTGCTCTTCCTGCTGTCCACACTTATCTCTTACTGGGGCAAGGGGGGGAGTCCCTGTTCACATGCCAAATGTAGGGATTCATTGGTCTCCCAGTGTGATCTGTTATACCCAGGGAGAAACCATGGCAGAAATGAGGAAAAGATAGAAAAGAAGACAAGAGCTGGGTTGGGTGGTGGCTCATTTGCCGGGTTGGTGAAACAAGCCCCTAAACAATAGTAAGGGCCTTTATTTATACCTTTAGTAAGTAGGAAGACACAAGGTTACCTAGCGACTAATAGCCCACAGTGTCCAGGCAGGATGTTTTTTCTCAAGACTGAGGTAGCTTGACTGCTTTAGTCAATGAGGCCTCATCCTGCCCTCCCACATATAATGAACTTCAGCTTCAGTGGCTCCCGACAAATTATTATAATACTATGTCTTCTAAATCTTTCAGGAAGATACTTGGAAAATGAATACTTGGGTTGAATGGAATGAAATTTCTAGCATCAATTCTTCGGGAATCTCCACACCAATTTCCATAGTGATTGTGTTACTTTACATTTCAGCTAACACTGTAAAAGGCTTCCTCTTTCTTTGCAGCTGGCTGGCATTTGTTATCATTTGGTTTATTGATGATAGCCATTTTTTCTGGAGTAAGATGGAATCTCAGTGTTTATATTTCTCTAATAGCCAGAGATTATGAATTATTTTTCATATATTTATTAGCCTTTTTTACTTCTAATAAGTGTCTACTCCTTGCATTTGACCATTTTTTTATTGAGCCTTTTACTTTGGGAGTCTAATTTTTCTTTTTAGTTCTTTATGATATATATATATATATATATTAATCCTTTGCCCAGGGAATAGCTGACATTTTCCCCCTATTATGTAGGTTGTCTTTTCATTCTGTTGATTGTTTCCTTTGCCATGCAGAAATTTTTAATTCGATATGATTGAATTTGTTAATTCTTGGCATTATTTCTTCTGCAATTGGA